AGAGAACATGGCAGACATCAAGCGTCAGATAAATGAAGAGCTTGAGCGAGGCGCTGTGGTGGCCATGAGTCGCAAGGAAGCAGAGCAGAAATTTGGAAGTCGCCTGGCAGTCGCGTCCTTGGGAGCTGTGCCCAAGGAAGTGGGATCTGCTGCTGTGAGGATTATCCACGATGCGACGCACAAGGTTGAAGTGAACAATCGCATCAGAGTGCAAGACAGGTTAAGGTTTCCAGCAATTGATGACCTTGACGCGGTGTTGCGAGGAATGCGGGATGGCCAAGAACACTGTCCAGGTCCTCGGTTTGCACTCAAATATATGATGTTGCCCATGCGCGCAAACTGGCGCCGGCGCAGCGACAAGATTGGGGATATCAGGCGTTTTCTTTATAGACAATCCTGATGTAATCTACCTGCATACAGTGGGAGCGTTCGGGCTACCCTCAGCGGCATATCATTGGCAGCGTGTGGCGGCGGCAGTGGTCAGGCTGGGTCATTACTTATCGCGCGAAGCAGCCGCGTTGTTTCCTTTGCTTTTTGCTGATGATGGATTACTTCTGGCGCGTGGGGAAAACTCTTGGCTTGCCTGGGTAGCAAAATTACCAGCAGATGCTGTGGTGAAGATGCCAGCTGAAATCAGATTGTTGCTGCATTTCTTCATGGGGAAGTGAAGCGTGCACCTATGGTCCTATAGCAAGGGCTCTGCCATACACAGTCAGCGATGTCTTCCGGATAGATGCCAAAGCGCAGGGCGACTGGGTAGTGGTCACAAAACCCCACCGCCCGTGCCCAGATGGCTTAGCGAGCATCTGCGCCCTGGGCCTTTGCGAAAGGGGAGGCTTTCAGATGCATAGCCGCACTGGAACTTGCTGCAGTGTTGTGCGCAATTTGTTTGTTTGGCCCCGACGCGCCATGGCGTTTGTAGTAGACAATTATATATATGTCTACAAGTTACCCCTTGAACGTTGTTTTGATGGAGCTCGCGATGCAACTGGACAGTGTTGGCGCAGCGTTGTCATTGCAGTGGGTCCCGAGAGAGTTTAATGCGGAGGCAGATGCGTTAACAAACGAGGACTTCTCCGCTTTTGGCGTCGGCCGACGAATCTACGCTGAGTTCGAGGACCTCCCTCTGACTGTCCTGCGCAGCTTGATGCCAGTAGGCAAGGAAGTTTGCAGCGAAGCCATTGTTTGCAAACGATCAACCTAGAGGTTCATTTGTACTTTAAAAAGGAGGACGTAGGACGTATGGCCGTATGACCTCCAAAAAGGCCTGTGACCATGAAATCGCCGTATGACCTTGAAACAGGCCTCTAGCGATAAAATTGCCTTACGCTGGCTTCCTCCACAGCGATGCTTACAAAAATGCGTTGCAAGGAGGCAGCGAGAAAAGCGCCCGCTACAGCCCACCAGATTCTGCAAGTCTGCGCAGTCAAAATGCAAGTCGAAGATCTCGAGAGGCATGAATGTATCATAAATAGCAACTATAGATGCGCTTCATGCACATGGGTCCCGAAAAATGCAAGCGAAGGGGAATGCCTAAACTGCGTGCGATATCTGAGGAATGTCTATTTCATTCGATGGCGCAACGCTAGGTAGCTGAAATATTGAGATGTGGTCTTTAGCCACGCGCAAGTTTGATTGACTGCCAAATCTGGCCTGTGGATGGGCGGGTGGAGTGGGGTCCGCGCAAGAGAGAGACGGTTAGATGTATATTCCCGCGAGGCTTGCGCTAGATTTCACTCATAGTTTCATGAAACTAAAGAAAAAATTTGCCGTGAAAAGGCCGTGAAAAAACGCTCTTGGCCATGAAAACGGCGTGTAAAACGTGAAAATGAAAAATCACAATCTGCATGTATCCGGCGTGTTTTTTAAATGAATCGTTTAGAGTTTTAGTTGTTGTTGTTTGTGATTTCGCTTCCATAGAAGCCTTTTACTTTTTGGCGTAGGTGGCAGCGCTGCCATTTCATCGAAAACGTGACCCGAATTTGAAAAACGTCACGTGTGCCATGGTTTGACTAGAGGCTCTGTATGTCATGATCTTTGCACCCCAAGCCCTAGCTGGAAGGAAAAAGCGATTAATTGCAGCTGGCTATACAGTTGGCAGCGGAGCTTCAAGAAAATCAGCTGGTGTACACGTGATTGCGCGGCAAAGACAAGAAACGAGCTAACAGCGTCAAAGCCATTTGGCGTGAACAGCGTGAAAATCCAGGATGGCCGCGCAAACCGTGACCATCCAGGCCGTGGCCGTGTAAACCGAGCAAAAATCCAGGCTGTGGCCGTGTAAACCGTGTAAACCGTGCAAATCAGGCTGTGGCCGTGAAAACAGGGTATGTCCTTGATTTTTTGACCACTAGGTCGGGGCGGCTATGTCCTTCTAAAAGGTGGTCGGATGAACCCCTAGGAAGGGGTCAATCTTCTGATCCGATTGCGAAAATGAGGAAGGGGCAGATGCGATACCATGGCTGACGTTCCCAAAGGCATGAAATGCTTGACTTTGTTCCAACTCCAGAAGCGAGAAAACAAAGAGCACCGGTGTCCGTTGAGTCGAACGGGGAGGGCGATCGGCTTTTGGTCCTAAGTTTGTAGGGTGGGCGGTTGCTTCTTTTTTTGGTGCCACGCAAACGTGGTGAGATCCCGAGGATTGGCGTGTTCAATGAATTGATTCGGCTCAGGCACCAATTCACATACTGATCGTCGGCTTCGTAGACCTGGTAGTACATCTTTCCGGGATGCTTCTTTCCCCAAGTAATGACTTTCCTTCCCCAGGATGTCATCGCATCTTGTGTCCAGGCCAAGTCTTGTCCATTGGGGGCATTGAATTCCCCGCCTGCAGTTGTCTCTTTGCTTGCCATGACTCCTGCTGGACTGCCCACAGCCTTGGGCGGAGTCTCGGGCATGCGGGACCGGACGCCAGTTGCTCCAGTGGGAGCAACATTTCGTCTTCCCATCGATTAATCTCTCGCTCTGACAGGTCTGACCATTCGGAGGCCGGGTGGGCATGTGAAGGGGACGTGGTCCCGGTCATCTTCAGGTTCTTTGAGATCTCTTGCAGCATGACTTTCTGACTCTGGACTTTCTGCATCAGCGTTTGCAGCTGCAAGGCATGCTCGTTGGGAACCATCTGCTCCCCATGCTCCTCCACCTGAGTCTGCGCTTGGTTCATCAGGAGCGTCAAAAGGATCCTCAGCAGTTGCATCACTGCCTGCTGTTTCCTTCATCATCTCCATCACGTCCTTGCGAGCGGGCATGGCTCTCGAATGATTTTCGTTCCGAGCAATCGTCGACTCTTGATGTGACAAGGGCTGACGATTGAGGAGGCTTGCGCAAGTCGAGCGTGCTGATCGTGAGCAGTCCTGTCTTACCTTGCTTTAGATGGATGGCCCGATCTAATTGTTGAAAAAAACAAGCATTCTTCTGAAGATCAAGCGCAGCTCCTAACTTGCGCAAAGTTTGAATGGACAGCAAAAACGGTGTGGCCTTTGGAACGACCTCTATGACTAGCCAAATCTGATGTGTATCACTCCTTACAGGTATCCAAATCTGCTTAAAGCTGTATTCTATTTGGTTGTTACCGAAACGAAATCCAATGCGGCTTGGCTTTTCTCGGACTCGTTCATGAGTGTTTGGGTCCAACATCTGCATCATTTTGGGAAGGCTTTCATTCCCAATGACGCTTCGGCTAGCACCTGTGTCAACGATGGCCAATCCTTTGGCATCAAATGCTTCGTCTCCGACTTTACTGGTGCAGCTGGGAAATATCTGGATGGAGCTCGCGGGCTTCTGATGCTCGATGCATTGCCTGGCAAAATGCGGAGGCTTCAACCGGCTTGCAAAAAACTGTTGCATTTTTATTTTTAGGTCCCCTGATGGATCGATTGAAATGTATATAGGCTCTTTGAATTACGACGAATGCATGTTCAGGGCATGATGACAACTCTGGGTCTGATATCTGTCCTACACTTTGTCCAAACGAACCTGGGTCTCGCGCATAGTGTCCCAAGGCTCGAACACAACTTGACTGGTCTCTTCATTGATGTCCTCGGTCACCACGTTCAATTGATCTTTGGCTTTATTGGGGCATTCAGCCTTCCAGTGACCGAGCTCCGCATTTCTTGCAGTGCGTTCGCGCTATTCGTTGGAGAAGCTCTTCCTTCCCCTTGGAGCCGCCTTTGCGAAAGCCTTTGTTGGCACTGTTGAATGAAGACTTATGGAGGTCCGGTACCTCCTGCATCAGGTCCTCCAAATCCTTTCGAACGTCTGGACGGCTAAGGCGTCAGCGTCCCCCCAAAACGCCATGCTCTCGATGGTCTCTGATGTCAAATCCTGGAGCCAGCATTGCGCGATCCTTCTTGGGGCAAATGCCATCAAGGAACTTCACCATCAAGGAACTTCACACCTTTGCCAAGTATTCACGAGCATTGTCCATGCTTGGATCAAATGAGGGCAACAGGCTCCAGATTCCAGAACTCTTGTCATCACTTCCTGAACTCGAGCCTTCCATGTGGCTTGATCCTACCTGCGGATGCCACTTCAGGCTCCGCTACCAATGTGACTCCCGTAGGAGCACACACTGGCACCGGCCTACCCTAAACAATTCACCAAAACCTACAAGGGCCTCGAACCCTCAACCTAACAAAGGGGCCTCCCGTACGAGTCCTCTCGTTCCTTGAGCCACCCGGTGGACCTAGTTCAAAAATGATATATTATATATGTACATATAAGGCCCCTGAAATTGGGTTCCGTACGTGCTTTTTGTCATACTAACTCATTCATATCCTTTTTTATCCTTAAAGACTTGACTACGGTGGCCTGCCTGATTTTGCCCTACTCATGATGGTGGATGCTTTGCTGTGTCACAAGGGCTGTTTCGACAGGTCAAGACGAGTGCCTCGCATCTTTTTCCGCATATGACAAGCGGACACCAATCTGGCTTAGTGTCAGAGCCAGTCGAACGACCTCCTTTTGAACATGTTTCAATGCGGGGATTCAGCAGTTGCGCCAAGGCTGCGGCTTTGTCTTGTGGGTGGTGCTCATGTCCTGCGTGAGGCTGAACTTGGACTCTTTTGAATCTGCGTTGGCCGACCCCCCTCTTTGGTCTGGTAGGACCACGGGTTGACTAGCATGCTATTAGACCAGATTTGACCACTGCCAACCAGCCACTTATTTTAGACTAAATTTTCGACCGATTTTCGACTCCATCAACTTGGCAAACACAGATGGGTCAGGCAGTGTGGTGCGAGCCTGGCAGACATGGACCTTGAAATCCCAGAGCTCGCTGAGGGCATGGTGGCTTAGTGATCCCTTTTTTTAGGGACGGGGGAGGGGGGTAGTCCAGGTGAGGTAGTAGCTAATTAGGTAGCTAGTAGCTACAACTAAGCGGCGGGGGAGATTTCTTTGCTCTCCAGCCGGTCGACAAGGTCTGCGGCGACCCATGGGCTTCCGCGCCATGGGTCCGTGAACCAACACATCAACTACGAGATTCACGAAAGCGAATCGAACGAAATGGCCCAGGAGGCGGGTGTGGCCTTTGCCGCCCTCTCGAAGGCCCTGCACAACATCTCAATTGTACCGTCGTCAACAAAGGCTTCGGCGCCGATGAAGGCGCCTTTCGGAAATGTTCTGCCGTTCCCAGAGGATCGAAGATCAAAAACCCTTAAGCCAAGGTAAGACAATTTCCTAACTTATATCTAACAG